ATCTGGCCTCTTTGATCAAGTATAAAGTGATTTGGTTAGTTAAGGTCATATGTCAACTTCGAAGCTTGTGAGTGTGTATGTCTCTGTATGTGTATGTGACTGTTTGTGTTTGCTTATGCACGAAACCCGCAGTGAGGGCAGCAAAAGTAACGTCTGTTTTCGATCATCAAGGTTTGATGACCACTATCTTCCTCTTTCTACATAAATGTCACAACTATCATTCTGATTGCGCAAGGACGGAAACACGTCTGGTTTTTTTGATGAACCTATTTTTTGTTTTTGGTCTCAATGTGAGAGCGAAAGAGTGAACTAAAAGTACATAGAAGTGACTATGATTAGAACCAAGACAAGAAATGACACTCTTCAGTTATGCCTACATTTAGAGAGAAAGTTGACCCATTATCCACATCGTGTTGCTACAAGATAATGTGTTCATGTGGTCGCTTTTATGTTGGAGAGACTCGTCGTCCCATTCGGCAAAGGGTGGTTGAGCACAAAAGCGCCTGCAAAGGCTGTTGAGTTCAAAAAACGGAGCTGGCCGAGAACAGGGTAGAAACGGGATACGAATTTATGGCATGTCTGTGGGTAAACATAAAATTAGAGAAGCCATCGAAATAAACGGAATAGGGAATACATTTAATGAAAGGAATATCGGCAAGAAGATAAGTAAAAATTACTTGTGCTCAATTAATAGACTCAAGGAAAAAAGAGACTACTCAACTAGTCTTTTCTTATTTTTCGTATGTAAGTAGAGTTTCGAGGCTATCAGTAAATCAGTAATATGAGATGTATTCACCCTATTTCGTTTAAGATGATGAAAGCCTGGTAGCAGAATTTTTCCCATTTAATATCAGTAGAGCTGACGTTTCCGTTGAATTTCACATAGTCTTGCTTTCGCAAAAGTTGTTCTCATCCAGGCTGAAGTGGACTGCAGTTTCGAGCTCGCATCGGTCTTATCAACATCCCCAACGGGAGTCGAACTGTGACAGTGCTGCATGTGGGCTTGATACGTTAACCACTCGGCCACATTGCCACGCATGCCCTTGGGTCGCAGGGTAGATGTGAATTTTGAGTAAGGCCAGGTCTTTTCCCACATCACATTCTTTGGAGGGACTATCGATGAAGAAACGTATTTTTGGTATAACAATCGACTATGTTACTTATTTTTCGTATGTAAGTAGATTTTCGAGACTATCACTCTTTTCTTGACTTGGTTCTAATCAAAGTCACTTTTCTGTACTTTTAGCTCATTCTTTCTATCTCGCTTTATGCCTGAGCAAAGAGGCCAGATGTAGAGTACATATACCGCTTTTTAGGGATTTGCCGGTGAGTTTTCTTGACTCGTTAGCTTGACTTTTGTTGTAACGATGATACCTTTCTCTGATGATGTTCGTCATATGACGGACGAAAGCTTAGCACCTTTCACCGAAATCGAAGGAGATTAACTCGGAAACAGCGTCCAGTAAAGCCAATCGACAGCTGGTCAAAAGGAATCCGCCGTCGTCTTCTGGTGAAATCAACGATTATGAAACCCGCTTTCTCGAGATTCTTCGAAACCCAACTTTTCTTCGCACCTTCACGATTTATGTTGCTTATACACTTACTTGGGGTATACTTCCTTCCTCTCCTTTCTATTACATCTTTTTTGATCCTCACCTGACCTCCAGACTCCAGGCACCAAGGCGGTCTCACCTCGCACACACTTTATCCGCCAGCCTCGCTAATTCCCTGCATCCCTGACTATTAACTGTGACTCCACCTTCCATTTCGACGGAAAATTTGGTTGTAAGAGCATCATGAATTGGCCGAACCGGAAACCGAAGGAAATTTAGCTTGAGGTAGAGACTTTCGGATTGTGCGAAGATGTCTCCAGTCCACTGTCCTACGACTCAGATGAATCCGTGCTAAGCCCTCGTCTATCCCCTGGCTGTAGACATCTTCAGAAGCGTAATCCTTAAATGGCCATTATTCCAGATTTTGTATTTTATTTTAATATAATTGCTTCTCGTTCTGATGATACTTGCCACATGAAAGACTAAAGGTCAGTTCCCATTCACCGGGATCAATGGAGAGTGAACTGGGCGCTTCTTCGCACATTCCCGCTAAGATGAAAAGTCGAGTCATAGTTAGGCCTTAGGGGAGCTTTCGAAACAGGTTTTATTTATATCATATACAGTATTTTATCCTTTTCTTACCTACTTCCCGCCCGTAGAGTGTCCCAATGCTTGGCCATCCGACATCCATGGGGCTCGAACAGCTACCGAGATTCGTTCAACCAGACCTTGCCAGTCAGTATCCAACCCGATTTTTTCACTCATTAACCCCAGTTTGCTGATAAATCCCCCTTATACATCCTTTGTCAAGCACTGCCTATTACATCCGACCTACATTCATCTGTTCTTCGGCCTTCAACTTTTTATTCTGTCAGACACTAACTATGCTTTGTTACTTTCTTTAGCAAATCTGTGTATAGTACAGATTACTTAGGTATCCAGCCTTCAGTCTTATTGAGGCCTTGGATCTGGTACCGAAACTAAAGCATACGCACAGTACAAACCCTCTCCCCGTATTTAAGTCTGCTACTGGATAGCACACCATTTAGAAAAAAACGTCTAGGAATAATAACCAAGTCCCTTATGATTCTCGAAAGTGATTTAATGATGAAGAGTAGAATTGTTCTTTCTATTCTCAGGCTAGATGCCATAATACCATTGTATTTCACTTATCCCTCCCTATCAACATGTTTAATCGCCTGAGTCTCATCAGCACTTCCAACGGGATTCGAAGCCGAGTCGCAAGCATTGTGGTGCTATACAGCACAAGAACTAGTGGACCATAGGGGCAGATGCGATTTCTAAGGCAGAACAAGACTCTAACAAATCACATTTTGTACTGGATTAGTCGACGAAGCAAACTTATACTTTTACATTATATTCGACGACTTTGCCTATCTACAGCATAAATATATTTAAGTTTTGGGATGCCCGAGACGCGTTTAAAAGTTCACATATGGTTGCTGAGATATAGGATTAATGGAACCCAAAATTCAACCTGAAAGGTAAAACCTTTTTGGAAGCAAGGCTAAGTGTATTTATTTTTTATTTATAAATAGGGGTTCGGGTCTACCATTAAATCAGATATATGAGATGCGTTGACCCTATCTCGTTTAAGGTGATGAAGGAGAGTATTGAATTTTGCACCATTGATATGAGTAGACATGACGTTTAAATTGAATTTCGCATTGCCTTGCTTTTCCAGAAGATATTCTCATTTAGGGTGGACTGCAATTTCAATTTGCCTAGGTCTTAATATGGTTCAAGTCTCGTCGGGGTGTTGATAAGACCTAGGTGAGGTCGAAATTGCAGTCAACCCTGGATGAGAATACCTTTTGGTAAAGCAAGACTGTGAAATTCAATGGAAATGTAAGGTCTATTTATATTATTGTGAGAAAAATTCAACGACCAGCCCCCTTATCACCATAAACGAAATACGATAAATGCACTTCATATATATGATCTACTGGTAGTCTCGAAAACCTACTTACAAGAAACGAATAATAAGTTCTTACAGAAAAACAACTGGAATCTACTCTTACTGAACGAACAATGCTTTTGTAAGGCATAAGTCCATTTGAGGGTTAGCTTTGAACAATTTGGACTTTCTTCCTTATTCAAATTCGGAAATATTTCTGGCAATACGATAGTTCCAAACCGACCATTACTGACTTTCAAGTGCCCAGAAGGTCAAAAAATCCCATGGATATAGTTAAACTTTATTACAGGCAAATTATACAGGTATTTTATGTAAGTCCTAATGCAGAAGTAATATTTAAATTAGCCCCAGTGAAGATAAGTTTAACGTTTATCCTGAATGCCATGCCAATTAGAGAGTTTGGGGCTCATAAATAAATAATTGAGGCAACTAAAGGCAGAAGGTTGGGGTGCAAAAGCAAAGAAGACAAGAGCTTTCAAAATGCTGATGATGTATGCTCATACGGAACATCGTTTATCCGACAAATTGGAAGTCTGTAGATAAAAAGTGCACGTGACAAAATGCTCACTAAGGGGCAAGTGGGTTTTGATCACATCATCTAAAAGGCCTTGAGTGAGGGCTACTGTAAAATTGCTGCTTACCACATCGATACAGGTTGGGAGCGTTTTCCCCATTCTGTGTTGTATATATATTTGTGCATATGTGATTCTGTGTGTGCGTGTATGTGTGTGAAAATGTGTACGAAAACATATACCCTGGGCCATACTGCAGCACTAAGAATAAGCGGGTTTGACGGATGCTACAGGAACAGCTCCGCGAAAGGTCAGTCCATTCAATCAGCCTATCGACCAATCTGAGTCAAGTGTACAGAAGGGACCAAACATGAGAGTGGAACAAGAGCTGAAGTCTAATCAATTAGGCGCTGAGCACAGCCTGATCACGTCGTCTTGGTCAAAGTCCTGCAAAATATAGGGAGCTCTACTGAATAGGCTTATCGTGCCCACAGTTGTCACCAGGACGAAGATAGCAAGCATCAGACGATCGATTACGGAGGCAACGTACTTCCAATCTTGTAGGACCTAAAAAAGAACAGAGACTGAGGCTATGAATAGAGCAATTGTGATATCATAATTAGGTAAAATACTGCTTTTAGTTCGGTTTTGGGAATATTTTGCATATTCGACCACAATAAACCAGTCATTTTTAAGCATATTAATTTTAAATACTATGAAATAATATGAGGACTAACTATATTACCTGTGATTACTCATTTTAATCTTGATGAGAAATCGGTTAAAAATGCATTCGTCTAAGCTGCTTCTTAGCCTCGTGCGAAATTACTCATGAAAATAAAGACCGGAAAGCGTTTACATTTAATAAAACATACTACTAAATCAAAAGTTTAAGTAGACAGTGAATCTTCCTCTCACAGAATATAACATTAATCTATCAGCGTATTTCGGCAACTTGCGGGGGAAATAAGAACTATGTAAATTTGGGCGTTGAAGGATTGATTGTTGAGTTTTTTCCACAATTAGATGAGTAGGCCTAATAATTTCAATGAATTTCGATTAGCCTTGCCTCCTTAAATCACTTTAAGATGGCCAGACTCTTGTACAAAAATTACAGCTCGCATCGAAATATTTCATTAGACAAGGATATGCCAATAGATGTATTCACCCTAGTTCGTTTAAGGTGATGAAGGACTGGTAGTAGAATTTTCCCAAAATGATCCGAGTAGGGCTAACGCTTCCATTTAATTACAAATAGTCTTGCTTTCCCAAGACCTCGCATAGATCTTATCAACACCCCCAGAGGGAGTCGAACCCTGACAGTGCAGAATGGGAGCTTGACATGTTAACCACTCGGACGCATTGCCACAAGTGCCCTTGGGTCATAGAGTAGATGTGAATATCGAGGAAGACCAGGCCTTTTCCCATATCACATTCTTTGGAGGGATTGTCGATGAACGTATCATCGTCCAGCTGGCGATCGGCTTTACTGGAACATTCATGCGGACGCTGTTTTCGAGGTAATCTCCTTCGATTCTGGTGAAAAGGTGTTAAGCTTTTGTCCGTCATATGATGAACATCATCAGAGCAAGGTATCATCGTCACAACAAAATTAAAGCCAACGAGTCAAGAAGACTCACTGGCAAATCCATAAAAAACGGTATATATACGCTATATCTGGCCTCTTTTCTCAAGTATAAAGTGATTTGGTTAGTTACGGTTATATGTCAACCTCGAATCCTGTGAGTGTGTCTGTCTCTGTATGCGTATGCGCTTGTTTGTGTTTCCTTATGCACGAAACCCGCAGTGATGACTCAAAGTAATTAAGACAGCAAAAGTCACTACCTCACTCTTTCTACATACATTTTATAACCATCATTCCGATTGCGCAAAGTAGAAAATTCGTCTGGTTTTGTTGATGAGCCTTTTTTCGTTTGTGGTCTCAATGCGAGCTAAAAGTACAGAGAAGTGACTATGATTATAACCAAGACAAGAAACGTGTGGTAGTCTCGAAACTCTACTTACATTCGAAAATTAAGTAACGTAATCGATTGTTATAGCAAAAATACATTTGCTTCATCGATAATCCCTCCAAAGAATGTGATATGGTAAAAGACCTGGTCTTTCTCGAAATTCACATTTGTCCTGTGTTTCAAGGGCACTCATGGCAATGTGGCCGAGCCGTTAACGTGTCAAGCTCACTTTCTGCTCATAGATCTCATTTACTGGTAGTCTCGAAAACCTACTCAAAACGAGATATAAGTAATGTCGTCGATTGCTATAGCAAACAGTCCCACCACATAATGTGATATGGGAAATTTATATCGGCCCTGTGACCTAAGGACATTCGTGGCAATGAAGCGTAGTGGTTAGCATATTTAGATTATACGCTGCACTGTCATGGTTCGGGTTGATAAGATCCAGTAGTCCACCCCAGTCTGGATGAGAATACCTGTTGCGAAATTAAGGTTATGTTAACTGCAATTAAAATGTCATGTCTACTCAAATCCTTGTGGGAAAATTTAACTGCCAGTCCTTCATCACCTTAAACGAAATAGGTTGGACAACATATGAAGACCAAGATGTTGTGGCCTCTGTTATGGTCGCAGTCTCCTTTCGATTTATAGAAGTGGGTTG